TCTCTCTCCCACCAACACTAAACCCATCAACCCCCATAACAGGCAAGCATTCACTCTTCTCCTCCTCCCTCTCCCCTCCTCCGCCGCCCACAGCCCACCCCATGGGCGTGCCTGCAGATATCCTCCGCGTGGACTACGTCGACTTCCGCCCACAGGAGAACGCAAAGGACCACCGTACTTTCCATTACGAGTTGGTTCAGGACCACGACCGCCCAACGCCCGTGTTCAGGAGAGGGCAGGCCTTCTACATGTCTCTGGTGAGGAGGTTGGGATGGCGTGGTGTAGTGTGGGCTTCCATGTACGAGTTTGTGTCAGTTGACTGAGTGTGGGCGTAGTGTGGGCGTGCGTGTGGGCGCCCAAACGTGGGCCGTGTTTGGTCAGAGGAGTGTGGGCGTGTTTGGTATGTGTGGATTTGGAGGCCTTCTGTGTGGATTTAGTGTGGGCGTGTTTGGTATGTGTGGATTTGGAGTGTGGGCGTGTTTGGTGTGTGGTGAGTGTGGGCGTGTTTGGTGTGGATTTGGAGTGTGGGCCGTGTTTGGTATGTGTGTGGAGTGTGGCGTGTTTGGTCTGTGTGGAGGGCAGTGTCTGGAGTGTGGGCGTGTTTGGTATTGTGGTGGAGTGTGGGCGTGTTTGGTATGTGTGGATTTGTAGTGTGGGCGTGTTTGTATGTGTGGATGTTTGGTATGTGTGGATTTGTATGTGGGCGTGTTGGTATGTGTGGATTTGGGATGTGGGCGTGTTTGGTCTGTGTGAGTGTGGAACAAGTGTGGGCGTGTTTGGTCTGTGTGGATTTGTAGTGTGGGCTGGGCGTGTTTGGTATGTGTGGATTTGGAAAGTGGGCGTGTTTGGTATGTGTGGATTTGGAGGTGGGCGTGTTTGTATGTGTGTGTAGTGTGGGCGTGTTTGGTATGTGTGGATTTGGAGTGTGGGCGTGTTTGGTCTGTGTGGATTTGGAGTGTGGGCGTGTTTGGTCTGTGTGGATTTGGAGTGTGGGCGTGTTTGGTCTGTGTGGTTTAGTAATGCGGGCGTAAGTTGGGTTTGTGGGAATTGAGTTGGATTTGTGAGTTTGTGGGATTGAGCTGGGCTCGTGGGCGTGTGGGCGTGGCTGAGTGGGTGGGTGGGTGTCAGTGTGTTTGTAGTATAACGGCCGGTTTGTTAGAATTGTTTGAGGCCCGACCCAAAGAATATTCGTATACTTGACCTGCATAAATAAAGAAATAAATGCATATCTATCAATCTAGACATGCATACCAACGGGCAAATAGATAGATTTATATCTATCAGATATATAGACAGATATGCCTTTATTTCTGCGTCTGTATTTATGAAAATTCATTGGGTCTTATATATATATTTTACTTATATATATTTATACTTGACCTGCATAAATAAAGAAATAAATGCATATCTATCAATCTAGACATGCATACCAACCCGGCAAATAGATAGTTAAATGTATATCTATCAGATATATAGACAGATATGCCTTTATTTCTGCGTTTGTATTTATGAAAATTCATTGGGTCGGGCCTGGCACAATTTTAACAACCCGACCGCTAATGTGTGTCTCTAGTCATACCGTATTTGTACAAATTCCGTCCGTACGTATAAGGGTATATCTGCGAGTACGTCTATTTTGTATGTGTGTGTGGGCATAAAATCAGTTAGAGATGATCTAGTGAATTAGAAACTTCACACAATAAAATGATTTGTGAATAATTGAAAAAGATACCGTGGGAAATATTCTAAATGTTTAGGAATGAATTATTTGACAGCGAATATTATATGCAGATGAAAATTAATGGTAATGAAAAATAAAAATGTGCAATAAAAGTAGATAGATCTTAAAGATAGATAATACAAAGATAAGAATATAATTAACAAGAGATTTTTTTTTTTTTTTTTTAATCATTAGGGTATTAGCCTTACATTAAATAAAGATATAACCGAAGCAAAACTTAGATAAAGATTGAGATAACGATAGAGAGATTAATAAACAACTAGATAAATGAGTAAATATATAGATAATCAGATGAATAGAATAATAAAAATAAATAAATAAATAGATAATTCAGCAGATGAATGAAAAATAATAATAATAATAATTCAGCATATGGACAGATAGATAGATAAATACCAAAAGAGTAATAAAAGATAAGAATAAGAAGAGTATCTAGAGTGCGTCTTTAGGGTTCGGTTACTAACAGCTGATCCTGACCAGGACTCAGCTGACCTCTGACCTTTCCCCTTCCCCTTTCCCTTGTCTTCTGTAATCTCTCTCCTTTCTAGGACTCAGCTGCTATCTTAGAGCACTTATCTTGATGTCCGGTAATCTGTCTCTCTGTCCTTTCGTCTCTCTCGCTTTGGTCAATATTGGTTTTTGTCATGTTTTTTTTTTTTTTTTTTTTTTGTAAATTACCTATGCACTTCCTTGTATCTGGGCACACTTACACACACAAGTATGGGGTACATACACACATACACACACACAACACACACA